TAACGTTTCTATTACTCAAAGATCCAAAATTAGACCTCTTCGGAAACGTTGATCCGATTAATCAGATCACTAGTCGATCTCCTTTGTCTTTTTTTCAATCGTGTTCATTAAAGAAAGATAAAAACAAACAGCTGATGTTTCCGAAAAGACCCAAGTGCCTAGCCGTTTTCTCGCGTCCACTTTTTTGACATTGTTTCAAAACGTTTGAAACGGGCAACCAGTTATGAACCAATGTCAAAAAAGTGGACGCGAGAAAACGGTCTTCAGGTAATTGACAGGTGTAGATAGTGAAGCAATCGAAACGCTATAAATAACAAAAAATAAAGACGATGGAAGTTTGAAAGTATCTTTTACTTGAAGTTTGAAGTATATGGTATTTTATCATTTCCTTAGAATTCAATCTGACCACAATGGGACAATAAAAGTGTTTTTTTGAATGGAACTTTAAGTGTAGGGGACGCAGTGAACCCTTTCGGCCGCGGGTGCTCAGCGAATAAAGACTATTATAACATGTAGCATACAATACAGTGATGAAAAATGTATGGAACTGGAGAAGAAAGTACAAGATGATCATGACTTCGCCAAAAAGTGTCACAGAAGCTGTGTTTCAACCTACACACCTAAAGCACATTTGAAAAGAGCTATGCTGGCTACTAGTTTAGCTGGTTCAGAAGCAAGTCTCTCCCATCCAAAAAAACAACGCGGTTCTGAAACAATAGCGTTTGAATTCCAGGAACACTGTATTTTCTGTGCAAAAAATTGTTATTTGGAGAAGGATCCGAGACACCCTGAAAGATGGAGACCCGCATATTGTCAATTAGAAACAAAAAACAAATCAGTGAAATAATTACATATTGAAACATGTGATACTAGAAACGATATCTGGGCTGCCAAACTTCGACTTCGGTTATCTGGCGTGATTAGTGACTTGAACGCTGCTAACGCAAAGTACCATGTGAATTGCCGAAATAAATTCATGAGTACCTACTAGAAATGTTAAAGATGCTAAACGGAGTGGCCAAGAAAAAGAAGCTGCAGGTGCAGATATAACATTCATTGAAACTGTAAGAGCATTCTCAGCAGATAAAGAACGTATTTGGAACTCTATAGAAAACTATACACTGATAATAGTGGATGTAAACTAAGTAGATCAAATTTGATAAAAGCCGTACAAGAGCAATTTCGTGATCTAGTTGTGCTGTCTGCGCCAGGTTATGCTTACATCATCACTTTCCCAAAAAAAGCAGCATCAATGTTAAGATTATGTCCTGATGACGGTGATATGATGAATTAAAATGCTGCTATTTTTAAAGGCGAAACAAATAAAACGTGAAATTCTAGGAATAAAAAATAGTATAAGAAAATTATAACTGACAGGTTTAGCTATAACAACGTTGTAGAACAAACCAGCAAGAACCTAATGTAGGTACCTACTTATGTGGAGCACTATCAACAAAACTGGATAAGACTCCACCAGCTTTGCTTATAGGAAGTATGGTGTCAGCAACCATATCTAATACATCCACAGAAGAAGTGGTCAACTTATTAAGTAAGTTCCACTTCCATATATCATGTACTTATGATGAAGTTTTACGCTCTAAGAAGTCAGCAGGTCATGAGGTTTCAAAGAAATGTGATCTGTCAGGGATTTTAGTTGATAGATCTAACGAAACGTTCACTCAGATTGTTGTAGACACTTTTGATACTGAGATATCTTCGCAAAATGGAAAAAAATGAGTACCCATTCACTAGCTGTTCTAGTTGCACAAACGAAATCAGAAAGTGAAAACTGTAGTTCAAGCACAACTCGGTGTACCATCAGAAGATTGAAGAAGAATCATATGCAACGTAACATAGATTATGAGACACCAATAGTGAGGTACAATGGAAAAGAAAAACCACACATGCCCAATAATTCAGCATTGAGATCACCTTTGTCTTTAAAAGTTTTGTGTCATACTGGTCTATCAATTCAAAAAACAGAAAAGATAGATTTTGAGTATTTAAAAAACATTATTAATGACCAAAAGTGTCCAGACTTTAATAGTTATAATACAAAAGTTATTCGTGAAAGTGGTTGCCAGCTGAAATCTGCAACAACCGCAGTGCACAGGCCATCTACACATATATAACAGACTTTGCAGACTTGCTATCCAAACTTGACGAATTAGTTGGACAAAGCAAGACAGTTAAGCTTTAGGTAGATATACCTACTGATAAAGCCAGTCTTCTTAATGATGAAATATGTGAGGGCTGAAAGGGAGGGAAATTGGCCATTACACATAGAGACAGTGAAACAAATGATGCCTTACTTTTTCGCTACTGCACACACTATGCTCGTTACGGTCTTTTCTATTTCAAATCTGCTGAAAGACTACCTGCATCTACCTTAAAGCATTTCCTTGATGGCAATCATGTTATGCGTCATAATCCTGGTTTGTGGAATAGTATATGGAGCGATATGTGGATAGAGACAACATTCATAAGATTCGGTCACAGTCAAGGTGGATTAGATATTATTCTAAGACCGGAAACCTTGAAAACTAGAGATGGAATAAAAAACAAGTTAAGACTCCTTATTGACCCTTTGGCTCATAGTACCCACTCAGACAATATAGTAAATATAGCATAGGTCCCGTGGTGTTACCAAATATTATTAATGTACACGACGCTGTTAACATTGGAACTGAACAAATGAAAAAATTCGAAGAAGGTTGGCCATCGAGTTTCCATTTGACTATACCCAGATTAGTTGTAATCGGATGTACAGCAAAGAAACACGTAAAAGTTGGCAGTGTTAAGGTGTTCGATACTGGTATTATTTACTCCCAAGTTATAGGACTTCAGGCAAGCTCACGACAAGTAGATATTAGTAAAGTTCTCTCCCATGAACTTTCACCTGTACCTATTATCCGTTCACAATCCGATGTCCACAGGTAGATACAGGTAAAATCACCTTTCAATGCTATTTGATAGGGAAAGGTGATAAATTTACCTGCACCTGTGGACATCGGATTGTGAACAGGATATACCTCAATGTTTGCAGATTCTGGAGATATGAGGATCTGCAAATCTAAATCGAGCTTAAAGAGACACCTCCAGGTTTCTTGCTCAACAAGAAATAATTGTGTTGAGAACACAGTTATCGTTATTGATGGCTCTGCACTCCTATGGTGTGACCAGAAAAGGGGACTGTAGGGGATTTTATAAAGGCAGTGAAAGTATCTATAAGCATATATTTGCAGCGTGGAAGTGTGTACCTCGTTTTCGATCGGTACAATGACTGCAGCACTAAAGACTGCACAAGGTCAAGTAGATCTACAGGAGTAACCAGAGTTCGAGTACTCGCATATACAACACCTCTTTCCTCAAAGAAAGAAATTTTGAGCTCGAATGAAAATAAGTAGTTGATTAGACTCATTGGCAGTAGCATTATTAGCGACGAATCGTTTAAAAAAACCAAACTAGCAAATAAAGCTAATTTTGACAGGCCCCGAAAAAGCACTCTACGACATTTACCGCGAAGAGGTGAGACGAAGGCATGACCTAAGAAATACCCACGAAGAAGCAGATACGATTCTTGTACAGCAAGTTTTTCTAGCTGCTAATGATGGAGCCAAACATGTTGTCGTCATATCAGATGACACAGATCTTTTTCTGCTCCTTTTGTACTTTTACAATCTTAAGAAGATACCTGCAACAATTTTGGAATTCCCTGTCCAGAGTCGTACAAGAATTGACATTGGAGCGTCTGCTATTAAACACGAGAATATAATATCTGATGTGCTAGCGCTTCATGCTATGTGTTATGGCATTGGGACGATAAAAGCCATTAATGTTTAAAAAAAACGACACCAGTTGTCATTGGTTGGAGATCTACACGCTAATCTATGTGATATGAAATGGCAATCACATACATTTATGACTGCATGTTACGGGGCAAATAAATGTAACACACCTTCAGAGGCTCGTGTAAAACTATGGGCAGACAAAGTTGGAAGTGCGACATCCCAATTACCGAAATTGTGCTTGCTGCCACCAACAAATTCAGCGTTTGAAGAAAACCTTGAGCGAGTTCACTTACAAACTTGCATTTGGAAAATCTCGATGGAATCATACCCATCAGATATGGACCCACTTCTTCTTCTATAAGAATGAAAACTCAAGATTCCTGCTGCCTACAACTTTGCCAGAGAATACTGAAGTTGCGCCGCCGGAAATTCTGAAATTAATTGAGTGTTCTTGTGAAAGTGTATTGCCATGTAGGAGCAATCGATGTAGTTGCAAGAGTGCCAGTAGAGGTGAGACAACTTCTTTTGAAACCTTCAACCCATTCTGTTCTTGTCGAATGCCAGTTTTTATTGAAGTAGTCCATAACTTTTTCAAACGCCTACCATGCAACATGTTTCCTGTGCAAAAATAGTTTCTGTTCCAATGATTCGACAAGATTTGTGGAAGTAGAAGTGGAACAGGACGAAGACAATGTCTATGAACCAATTGACGACAGTACTTTCGAAGAGACATCTGACTGAATGCTGATTTCAATTTAGACATTCCATTATATTTGATTCATAAATATTTTCTGTTTGTACCACGAGAAGATTATTATTATATTATATTTGTCATAAATATATTACACAAATTACATTATTTTTTCTTAAGAAATGTTTTTTTTGTTTTGTTTTTGTACAGGGTGTTTTTTTATATATTGACACCTCACCTACAGCCTTTACCTTTACAGGTAGAAGAAAGGTGTTAATACAAACGTCGTCCAGTTTTGACTAAATTTTTAGAATTCATAGTCAAAAATGTGAAATTTTGCATGCTTTCAGCATTTTTCAAATGGGATGCTCTGTATTTGGTTCTATATTTTTGAAGGGCACAATACCCCGATTCCAAAAATAATATATAGTTTGTTTCTTCTTCTTCTGTTTAGCTCCATAAGCAAATTTATGCAAAACCACCATGGCAATTAAACATGTTGTTTCACATTATTTCAGAAATGCGAGTTAGAAAAATTAAAATCAAAGCTGCATGCAATCATAAATGAAATGGAAAAGGAAAATATTGAAGAAATTTCTGAAGTTACATCAATGGAGAGTGGTGATTCGCCAGAAAGGTATGAACAATTATTGTTATTATTATTTTTTTGGGTATATCTAAAAATTGTCTTTCAAGGTTTGAAATGGTTGATAAAAACATGCCCTCATTCAAAAAAACTGACGTTGAAGATAGTTTATCAAATAATAGTTTTAATGCTAACGATTGGACTAAAATAAGCATTCCAGAACGTGACACTAATAATGAGACGCATTTTGATAAAGAAAAGGAATTCAATAATTTAAAGTAAGTTATTATTTTGAATTACTTGTGCAGAAAAATCAAATTATTTTGTTTCAGTTTGGAATCCTTCACCAAAGATGTTTTCAGCTTATGCTACATTAACACTGATATGGACTATGACATTCTAAACCAAAATATTGACAATATAGAAAAATTGGTGCACATTCTATCTCAATCTTTATTAAAATTAATACCAAATATTATTTTAAATAAGAGGGAAGATGCGATACCTTTACTCATGACGGCCATTTATCTGAATCCAAAAGCCTCTGAAAGGGATAAATTATTACAGCAATTATTTCATTTGAAGAAAAGACCAACTGAAACTGAAAGACTCATTATATTAGCTGGTTAGTTTTTGAAGCCAATCAAATTCAAATGATTGTTTATGTGAAGTCTGATTGTGTCTGACTGATTTCTATAGGGATATTTTTGAGGCTAACATCTGACCCAAAATTGAACAGAGCTAATCAGATTTTTTTTAAAACAATCAAAACTCAATTGCAATCTTGCAGAACAATTAATTAAAATTTAGAATAATTTTTAGCTGTCATTGGCATATCAAAATACACAGGAGAACAGTTAGTGGAAAATGAAATTTTGCCTCAGTGCTGGCTGCAACTCACCCACAAACACGTTGAAAGGCGATTGTTAGTAGCAGAGTCTTGTACAGTGTTAATTCCATACGTTTCAAGTCCTATACGAAACTCATTGATTCTATCAATGCTACAACAAATGTTGGAAGACAAGGAAGAAGTTATTAGGGAACAAATTATTAAGGCTTTAGCCTTGCTAGTTTGTCAATGTAAGGATTCAGACAAATATTTACAATGTGAACAAATTGCTTTGAATAGTTTGAATGATAACAGCAATTCGGTGGTGAATTTGAGTACAGAGATTCTGTTCCCAGTGTTGGCTAAATGGGCTTTACAGGAAGGTGAAAACATTATCTATATGTATTTAAATTGAATAATAAATTTATGGTTTCCAGGTTATTTGAATTCGAGTCTACTCAAAAAATTACTGCACAAACTTAATGAGGGCATTAAAAATATTGAATCTCAATCAAAAGTTAGTCAAGAAATTGATAAAATTCATAGAATATTAGCTGTGATTGATAATTTGCTACCATTTTTGATGATGTTGGTAGTGTATCATGAAAATGTGATAAGTAATATTGAAAAAGACGTTGTGATACCTTTAAGTAAGTTTATTTATCATGCAAGTGACACGTTATAAATAAATAATTTTCAGGATCTGATTTTATCAATTTATGTAATAGATTAACGAATCCAGAAAATTTCATGAAATCTGACTTAAATATTGGAACAGTTTTATATGAGTTTGATAGATATATTGAAGAAAATCCCAATATTTCTTGGTCGGATATGGATTGGGTAGTTGATATAATGTAAGCAGAATTTTATTTTCATTATTTAATTCAATTAATTATATTTATTTCCCCAAAATATGAATGCCTAATTTTTACATATTATTATTTGTCTCATGGTATCAATTATCCTATTATTATTTTTAGGTTGCCAGATCTATTTAATAATCTCCATCACATAGAACTAGCTCACCAATCTCTCCTCGAAGGATTCCTGAACCTTTTCTCCCATATTTGCATATTATTCGGCCACAATTTCATCAAATACAAAGTCCGTCCGCCTTTGCACAAAAAAATCCAAAGCTTAGAACAAATCATTAGCAGTTTCAATCAATTCTGTCCCAGCCTTAACATAATTCCTATTTATGTCACAATATTGAGTTTCATCAGAGATTACGAAGAGCTATCGTCGGTTTTTAAAAAATTCTTATGCGCTTTGCCTTTATGTGGAAGCCCTTTGGATTGTTTGGAGATTACTGTCAAGAAGATGTGCGAAATTGGACTACAAAATATGGTAGTTGAGTGTTTGTGGACTGGAGTTGTACATCAAAGACCTCTAGTCAAATCAGCCGCAGCCAGTATGTTCTGTTCTATTATTGGAAGTTGTAGCGAGGAATTGCTCAAGACAAAAGTGGCGGGGGCAATTGTTACTTTAGCTAATGATAGCGACAGGTACGACTTATTGTTTTAAATTGGTTTCAGCGTCCACATTTAAGTGTTTTTTTTTTCTCAGCTTGGTTCGTACCGCTACGGTTCCAGCCTTAGGCCGTCTAATAACAAATTGTAGCATCAAAGAAATACACGACAAGGCTTACATGCAAATACAGACATTTTTAAACGATCCAACTCTGAAAGAAAATCATACAATTTCCCGTCAGCTTATAGTGACTATGGGAAATATATTTGGAAGTAGCTGTAGTACATTCAGAAATGATGTCATTCTTCCTCAACTTACCAATTTTTCCGCATTTATGTCTCAAATGTCGAATCACACTAGGAAAGTGGATATGGCTCTTGCATTAGTTGAAGCTTTTACTCATGTCGTTTATAGTCCTCTTAATAAAGATTGCATTAGTAATGTAGTTAAACCAGGATTGAAGTAAGTAAAGAAAAATATTTGAAGCATGTTGTTCAGATCTCCTCTAATGTGCTAAAATGCTTTCCAACAATTTCAGTAATTCCTAATCCTAACAAAAAAAAATAATATTTCAGGTGTTTGGAGACAGTGATTTCCGAAAATCCCTCCCTTTCAATACATCACGAAACAGTATTTTCAATGATTAAAGAATGTGAAAATAAGTCAAATTTAAGTAGCCCAAGTTCGTCAGTGGAACGAAGTAATAAGCTGCAAAATGTTAATCAAGGAGTAGAAGAAATGAGGCAAAGAATGAGTAAAATTTTTAATAAACCTAACATTCCAAAGTCGAATACTTTACCAAATTTGCAAGGGATATTTAAAAAGAAATAATATTCTCCAATAAACAAACAAAGTCTAAAGTGACGAGGCAATAAAAAAACTTTAAATTGAGGATCACAACAATATTTTTCAAATGGCCAATATCTTTATAGTTTATTATTAATGAATGGAAAACTTAAATATATTGCAGAAAGCAGAACAGAGATTGTTTTCCATCGATCCTATAATTTACAGGTTTTCTGTTCCCTTGCTATTTTCTATCTATAAACTAACACACATTGTCAATAATGACTACGTTTATTTCACGCGTTGTATCCGGATATTAAGTGGATTAGGAATTATTAATCCATATTCGTTTATTTCACAACTATTGAATGGATTAAGATTAGTGTTAATCAGAGCTGGGCAGGGCTTGAGTGCTTTGTGCTTGCGAAAGTGCTTGAAGCACTTTGAGGACTTGAAAGCCCTATGCTTCAAGCCCTTTTATAGATTTGTAATTGGGGCTTGCAAAGTCAATTACTTTAGAAAAGTGCTTGGTAATTTGTAATTTAAAAAAGTAATTCAAGCCCTTTCAATGAGCTTCAATTACTTTTAGAGGGCTTGAAGCACTTTTGGGAGCTTGAAGCCCTTTGAAAGGGCTTGAAGCACTTTAAGAGGGCTTGAAGCACTTTTGGGAGCTTGAAGCACTTTGAAAGGGCTTGAAGCACTTTAAAAGGGCTTGAAGCACTTTAAAAGGGCTTGAAGCACTTTGAAAGGAATTTGAATTGACCATCATTCAACCTATCCCCCACTTAAACATTTTCGATCGTGTTTTGTCCCTTAATTTTTTTTTCTATTATTTGAACTTGAACCGTCTTATGTCTTTTCTCTCTTAACAATGAAGGTTTTGAGCTTAGAATGGAATTAAAAAAAAAAAATGAATGAACTTATTATTCAAATAAATAAATAATTTATAGGTACCCTATTTAACTTTATCACTGGATTTTTTTCACTTTTCCCCATTGAACATTTTGAAAACCTTAAAATTAAATTACCATGTAGTACCCCAACTATCCCAAGTACCCCAGAACTACATCTCAAAAAAAAACATACTACTGCTACGTTGTGGAATGTGAAGTTCGTCTTTACTATACCAATTCTGTGTGATGAGTGTACGCGGTAACTTATGCCACTTTGAGAATTTTATTACAAATTCAAAGTGCTTTAGGCACATTTAAAGAGCTTCAAGCACATTTAAAGAGCTTGAAGCACATTTAAAGAGCTTGAAGCACAGTTAAAGAGCTTGAAGCCCTTTTCAAGGCACCCCAAGCTCTTTTGATGTGCTTCAAGCACTTTTCAAATCACTTTGAGGGCTTTGTGCTTGTCAAGCCCAAAGCACTTTGAGGGCTTTGTGCTTGTGAAGCACTTTTGAAAATAAAAAGGAATTTGTGCTTGAAATTGAAGCACTTTGATAGAGGGCTTAGGGCTTAATGCTTCAAGCCCTTTTACTGAGGGCTTTGCCCAGCTCTGGTGTTAATTAATCCTTTCTTAAGCCTTGTCGTTTGTGTCTAACTGCATTATAAAGGCAATATCACACCGGTTTTTCATCAAAAAATATCCAAATAAAATTAAATAACATCAATCCTCAAAGAAATTATAAGTGGCAAATGGCATTTTTTCTTGAAGGTAACAACAAACTTCTTAAATCCAAGATTAAGGTGTTTATTTCACATTTGAGATATTCCATTTTAAGTTCAATCCTACAAACTTGGAGGATTGGATTAAGTACTCCAATCCGGATGAACTCTTTAATCCTGGGTGTTTATTTCAGGATTATTAATCACCATTATTAATCCGATCCACTTTAGTATCTGGATACAAAACATGAAATAAACGTAGTCTATCTATTACGTCTGTAGGATCCAAATGAAAAAAATATTATCTTAATTAAGAGTATACCTAATTTTAAAATAAAGTGCAATATTTGTTATACATATTTTAATTGTTTTTGCATTTTGAATCTGATGGCATTTTTTTTTATTTATATGTTAATGGTTGTGAAAATTTATTATGATTTTTTTCAAATAGATTTTATAGATAGTTATATCTATTAAAAATAATGTACTTAATTAAAACTATTTTTACAAATAATAATGATTAATATTAAAGTTACCTTTTGTCTAAATATCTACGTTTTCCATTCATTGTTCGGGGTGTCCAAGATTCGATGATTTTGGATGGTTTCGAGTATTTCTAGAGGAGTTGGAAAAAATCTGACCTCCCTCTTGCGAGCCTTAATTTTCAAGAGAAATTGACTGGTGAAAACCGCATCTCCATATGTCGAGTCGTTTTCAAGCTACGAGGGGTTTTTGAAAAGTTTGCAGTTTGGAAGGGGATCTCAAACTTTTTTATTTATGAAAATTTTGCAATCTTGTAAAGGACTTTTTATTGGATTTTTTCATGTAGAATTCATTGCTAGCTTCGATTAGAACCTGAGGATTGGTTTAATTATTTGCGAATGAGCGAAGAAACTTATATGAAATTCCTTCAGATAGTTACGCCTGAAATTGAAAGGATGGATACAGTTATGAGAAAAGCAATATCTCCACAGCATTACCGAATTTAATTTTTCTATAAGTATTTCATGAGCTGCATTTTTGTGTGTGTTTGTCTGAGTATTCCTTGGATTTCACCCTCCAAAGACATGGATTTTTCCTATCCAAATTGATAAAATTCGTGAGGAACTCTTACATGAGACGTAGGTCTGATATGCTTGAATATACTATCTTCTTTCTGAATTTAAAATTCGCCTGCATCCTGCACAAGGAAATTTTCTCTTGCAAAAATAAAAGGGACAATTAATAAGTTGAAAGAACTGTTACATGCTACACATTACAACTTATCGCTAGACAAGTCTGTATACGCAGGAAAATATCTGAATATCTGACAGGTTTGATTTCATTCAAGCCAAACAATATTATCTGTGCAATTTAATAAGTCTGCCGACTCATCAGCACCTGCGATAACTCGTCCAATTTGAGTTGGCGCAAGCAAGTTGATGGACATGGAGCGTCTATCCCGGCCTTTACATTTACAGAAAAAAAGCAAACTTAATCATTTTTGACAGACCCCTTATTTAATTTTGTTATTCGAACTGATCTCCATTTTATAGCAAACATAAACGACAACGTTTGATCGTATTCCTCGAAGCATTGATCAAGTCTATATTTCGTAGTCTATTGATGATTCACATAAGGCATCTTCTAGATCTTGTCGATTTCCCAAATCTCGTAACTGCCCTTGCCGTATGTGATGGTGCTCCATCATGTTGGAAATAGAATTGTTCTGGGATAGTCAATTACTCGCAGATTTTCCAAATACTCTTCAACGAACCCTTCCAAAATTTCATGTTGATACCTGGAAACAACAAATGAACCAAAGAAATTCTCTAATACGTAATAAAAAAATTTCAACAGAATTTGAAATTGAGTTAATTGTGAAAGAACATAAACTTTGAATTGAATATGAACACATCAAACCCGCTAAATCCTATTTTTAAATGGCCTGGTTACCTGATGTTTTGGTTCAGATTTCCATCAAAGATATAAGGTCCAATCACTCTTTCCCTAAATACTCCAGCCCAAACATTAAAACCAAATCTCCCTTGATTCATGATGTGTACCGTGATACTGATATGAGGATTTTCTTGAGTCCAAGAATAGCTATTATATCTATTGAATACTCCATCACTGGTCACGTGCGCTTATTCATCTGTCTACATTATTACCATTACGTTCAGTTAGAAATTATTATTATTCTCCACATTTATCCAAAAACCAATTTGAAAAGGCCATCCTTTGTTCAAAGTCTCTCGGATATAAATGGGTGTACCTACCTTTCGGGTTCTGAAGGCTTTGAATTTATGTTTTTTCAAGATATATGATGCACCGAGCTGCGCTGAATTCCAGTTCTCTCCTCAAGGAGAGAAGACGCACAGACACTTGCGCATTGTTGTGAATTTCACCTGAAACTATACCATTTCCCCCAAATCTCGATCTCTTTTTACATTGTAAAGTGAAGCCCTAAGTTTTACGAAGAAACCATGTGGTTAGGTTTCTTTTAATTCTTTTGAACATATTAACAAATGGTTGTCGACGCTGGGGAAACCGCGCTAAATATAAATTTCCAGCTTCTTCCGCATTTTCGTTTGATTCAATATTCAATATTATAAAGCACTATTCAACATATATTTTTCGCTATAAATACTCGTACATTTTAACTTAACTACAAATAAAAAATGATAAATCTGGCAATTCACAAGAATCACAAGGCCTACTATACAGGGTATGGGTTTACCATTTAAAACGAAACAGGCTAAATATCTGATGTCACTTTTATTTTTTTGAAAACCACTTGAACACGTAATTTGATTGTGTGAGTGTTTGAACCATTTTCAGCACTTACTTTACCCTCTAGGGGGGTGGGACCAACCCTTACCATTCCAAATGGAACAAGGGGTCGAGGGATACCTGGTTTCAAAAGAGCGTTCAATTTTCTTTCAAATGACATCAAATAAAAGAGAATTTAACGCTTTTTTAAAAGAGGTATCACGTACTCTACCTCTTGTTCCATTTGAAATAGTAAGGGTTGGTTCCACCCCTCCTAGAGAATTAAAGTGAAAGTGCTATAAATGGTTGCAGAAAACTTCCCCCTTTGAAAATCAAATTACGTGTACGAGCGATTTTTTAAAAAATAAACGTAGCATCAGTAGATATTCAGCCTGTTTCGTTTTAAATGGTACAGCCTGTATAGAAAACGGCAGCCGCGTGCGGAAAAATTCATTTTCCGCACTTGTTAAGTAAATAGCTATTTTGTATGCAGACAAAATAGATAAAATGTTTGATTAATTAACAAAACTGACACTTCTTCTGAACGCCACTTTCCCGCACTAGTGCGGGAAAAACAAAATCGCGCACTAGTGCGGGAAAGTGACATTTTCGGAACTAAGATGCGTGCGGGAAAGTGATAAAAAATGCACGCTCGTAGAAAAAAAGCTTTCCGAAACAATACCAAAGTAATTTACCGCTAGATGACGCTGTGCTCGTTGCCTCGTTATACTGGCTAGTTGGTTGCCTATAAAAAAAAATGTATTTCTTAAGAACCTTAAGGTCCGATTTATTCGATCACCTTCTGAAACTGTCAGGTAATACAATCTGACCTGACGGATAAAAACGTAATTGTGTAATTCCATTGATTGGCCAGTTATCTGCCGACATACGGTTATAGATCGGCAAATTTATCTTGCAGATAGTTACGAGCAAGTTTATCTATTCTGAAAATAAATAAATCGGGCCTGGCCTAAAAGTACCTGATACAACTTTGCTAATTCCTACCCTACCCCTACCGCATTCTATTTTCGATTATTTATAGTGAAAAGCAACCGTTTTAATAGAGAGTTATTGGAACTAATAAATACTGCCTCGCAATATTAAGGATCTACGTTATTTTATTAGTGCATCAGCACTATTTTTCCAAGAAAAAAACAGTTATTGGAAGACTGTAGTAGGTGCTAGAGTATTACCTTATTTTGTATTCATAATTTTGACAGCTGATAGCTATGTTTATAAATTTCAACCTCAAAAAGTGTTTATTTTTGTTTGTGATTTTCTGCCGATACTCATTTTTCGATGCTACCCACAGTAAAATGGAAAACTACTGTAAAAAATACATTTTCCAAGTAAAATTAGGTCACCGTCGAAAAGCGAAACGTCAAAGTCGTCCAAAATGTCAGAAATTTGAAATAAGGGAAGTTTACTGCCTCGCACTAACCATACACAAATAAAGACAAGCAGTAACCTTATTAAGGAAATCCTTATTTTCAGACCCAAATGCGCATGTGTAGATGTCAAAATAAGGCTAATTTAAATACTGCTTGTCCTTATTGCACGTCCAATAACTCTCTAATATCTGAGGTTTTAATTAACTTATTTCCGATTTTCCTAATTTTTTCACAAATTAGGCCTGGTTTATTCATCTTTAGATAAATTTGCTGGTATCTAACTAGGTAACTGCAAGATAAATTGCCCTATCTATATGAATTCTTATCGGCGGATAACTGGCCCACCAATTGGGATTACAGATTGGGTTTTTATCCGTCAGATTGCATTGCAAATTGCAATGATTGCATTACCTAACAGTTAATCAGTAGGTAAATAAACCGGGCCTTAAAAAGATAAACCATGTAGGTTAAATTAGGCTACGACATACGTTCTTGAATAAATATTGAAATTCTAAATACGTAAGACAAGAATGACAGGTTGAACGTGTGTCGTGTTTTAATCCCAGTTACTCAAATGTAAACATTCGTTCAGTTTTGTCAACAACAGTTCTAGATTTTGAAAAAGTTTTCTGAAAAAAGCTAATAAAACAACATTTTTTTCTATTGATTCTTGAAAATTATAATATTTTCATTCTTCCCAGTATCAAATCAACCGGAATCAATAAAAATTATCCGATGTTTCATTGAAAATAGGTCGCGATCATTAATTTTCTTGAAAAAAAACACAGGGTCGGTACAGCGAAAAAGCCGTAGGAGTTAAAAAGGAGTATTTATTATTTATTTATTAATGTATTCTCAATTTCAATTGGACGTACTGAAGAAGAAAAAATGCATTCGAGCACTTGTGGCGAATTATTTTGCAAAGGTGTCAGTAGTCGGTTTAAATGGGTTTCTTGGGTGTGAGGATGTAAGAAAATCACTGTAAAAATGAATGTAAGTACCAATTTAACTATTAGATGTAATTATTTTCTCATATTATTCTTTAGTTTGTACTGACCTTTCTTAATTTATTTAGTTTAGTTGACCTTGCTTTAATTTTTTGAAGTCCAAAAAACCGAGCCAAAAACAATTATTATTAACAATAAGTGCTCCCATTTTTTTAGACTTTATTACACAACTTAGGCTGCCAGACATCTAGTTCAGATGAAATTTCCTTAGAAATCTCTTCTTCGGTTTTTAGAAGTCACTCAATTTTTATTTTCTTGAACATTCAATAATTTCGATTAGGTATCTCAAACTTTTTTTAGTCACCCTGGCTCGAGAGGTGAATAGCTCTTGCAGGCGGTGCACATATTTCGCACAATCTTTACACAATCAGACCCAAGATCAGACCATAATCTATCAAATTCATTACACATTAGACCACAACAATGAACACTACACAATCTACCACCATCTGTTGCACGTGAGGTCCCTCCAAATAATTTCAGTTCACTTTACCTATATTCAATCACAATCAGTCGCAATCATTACATAATCAGTCACCATCGCTTGCAATCTTAGCAGATTTCCTCAAAGATTGTGAAATTTGGCAGTCAGTGTACACATTTTGGTTTTTGGATCAGCTATTCACAATTCGACACAATCATTATACAATCACACACAATCATACTGCAATCATTCATAATCTTTAACAATCGCTATAAAATCTCTCACAATCGTTACAAAATCGGTCACAATCGCTACACAACCACCATCTTCCGCACGTGAGGTAGGTACCTCCAAATAATTTTAGTTCACTTTATTTTCAATCATAATCGAGGTCGCAATCATTACCAAATCAGTCACAATCGTACGAATCGTACACAATCACTGACAAGTGACAATCTTAGGGAAATTCCTTGAATATTGTGAAACTTGGCAGTCGGCGTACCTACTTGAGTCATTTTTTCATCCCTCGTCCTGGCTTTTTGAGAGATACCGAAAATTTTAAATTTTTTGTTTGGTTAATAGGATGATTTTCTATATTCTTTTTTCTGAAAAGGACTTTTAGTCCCTTGTTTATCTTGTTTCCTCCATTCCTCCCAAATGCTCTGAACAAAAAAAATGCAGTCAACCTGGGTCCAAACTTTGGTCAAAAACCTCGTTTTTCAGACTAAGCTCAAAAATAAAGTTTCCTCAAAAGTTGCACACTAGTTTTGCAAATTCCAGTTTCAAGAGAATAGCTAGTGAACATCCAAAATGGTTTTTGTGTTGATGATTTTAATTTAAAATGTATAGTATATAATGAGTTTTTTAGGAGAAAGATACAAATCCGAGTACAAATCCTGGTGTTATGCTTTTTGGAAAAAAATCCAGACTTTGTTGAAATAAGCTTCTGGATATCAGAATCATTTATTTAGGTAGCCAACATTGCCAAATTATTTTTAGAGATTGCATTTAAAAACTTTTTGCCCTAATTTTAAACAGATCTGGAATTAAATTTGATGGTTTCCATACATCTATAAGTAAACTCTGTTTTTTTTTAAAGATAATTTCCCAAGTCAAAAATTTAGTAACTATATGTTGGATAAATAAATTTATAGGTACTTACCTACTCAAATAATTTAATAGATTCAAACATTTTGACAGTTGAAAATTTGCATTTTTGCTTCCTATTTTAATTTCAAGTTTTAGCTCTATTACCTATAAGGTCTTGAGCGAGGTCTTGAGCAGGGTACAAAATATTTGGAAACATTTGCCAGTAAACAAAACATTTATACACGTGTGTAGGTGTTTTGTTACAAAGAACATTTAGTTTTTAAACGAGGTAGCAATTGCGTCCAGACTAAAGAAAAAAACATGTCACCAAATAGCACCACCACTGATATGATTGCTTAAAACAACAAATATTTGCTTTGAACGCGTCAGACTTGCTTCAAAAGCGAGTATTATAACAAAGTTTCTCATCCTGGCGGAAAACAAAAAATTTTGAACATTTGTAAATGTTTTTAAACAAATGTTTGCAAACACATTTTAAAAACACATTTTAAAAAGCTTTTATACAATTTTTATACAAATGTTAAAGTGTTGGCGGGTAAATGTATGTAGGTCTGGACTATAAAAACTGTTTAAAATGTGTCACGGGAAAATGTTTCCAAACATTTGTTTTTGGGCAGTGTATGTAGGTCTGGACTAGGCTTTATGAATAAAGTGTAGCAATAATGCTTTTACTCAATCTCCGTCTCTTTTTGCTGCATTGAAGCTAGATATACTTATCTCGTAAAACTCCATAATAATACAGGGTGTCCCAGCCGAAAGGGAAATCAGAAATACTACATCTTCCAATAATACTGGTTTAAGCGACAGAACGTATAGCTGTGCTGTTGCGTCGAGTAGCGGTTCAAGTAATGTCGAGAGTAATGTCCTCCATGAGATGTCTGAACGCCAAAAAAAATCTAATAACTTGATGAAATTTAATCTACCAGAAAACAATGGTCAGGACAACTTGATTGAGGCAAACACCCTATTATCGCAGCTCGTTGGTGTGCCTGTCAGCATTTTGACTGCTTCTACACCATTTCAACCTCAATTTTGGAAAAAGTAACTTTTATTTAGGAAAATGTAAAGTCATTTTTGGAAAAAGTCAAATCAATTTCAGAAAAAGTAAAGTTAATTTCGGAAAAAGTAAATTCAAATTCAGAAAAAGTAAATTCAAATTCGGAAAAAGTAAATTCAAATTCGGAAAAAGTACATCCAATTACGGAGAAAGTAATGTTTTTTTTTAGAATAATTCGAATTGATAAAAAGTAAATTTAGCAGTGACTATAAACCTCCATTCGAACCCGTACCCTAATGGGTTCGATTTCAATCAGTATAATTAGGTTCTACATATATTGGCTCCATATTATTTTGTAGGTCTGATGATGCTCATATGAGCGAAACACATGTCACTTTAAAGTGAATAAAATAATAAACAATCTGTGGTGCCTATGTTTTATTGTTCAAAAATCGGATCTCTTTGAGAAATATGGACACATTTTTTGATTTTCTAAATAGATGACTCAATCAATTCAAATTATTCTAAAAAAAATAACAGTACTTTCTCTGTAATTGAATGTATTTTTTTCCGAATTTGAATTCACTTTTTCCGAATTTGAATTTACTTTTTCCGAATTTTAATTTACTTTATCCGAAATTAACTTTACTTTTTCTGAATTTGATTTGACTTTTTCCGAAAATGACTTTACATTTTCCTAAATAAAAATTACTTTTTCCGAAATTGAGGTTGAAATGGTGTAGAGTTGGGAAATGCAACAAAAATGGACATCGTTCTTTGCGGCTTTCCCGTCAATCCAGAGGTTGTTCGTCTAGTTCTAAAAAATAAGAAGTTGGATACAGGCAGGGGCATATATTTAGAAACTGACTTAACTTCTGAACAACATCATGAGCTTAGCAACTTAAAGAACGAACTGAAGCAAAGACAGCTAAAAGGTGGAAAGAACCTTTTTTTGAAGTACATTAATGGGATTCTCAGACTGGCAACAAAAAACTAACTAGTTCTTCGGTAGTGAAATCCACATCAAATTTACTTGTCTATTTCCAAAATGTTAGAGGTTTACGCACCAAGCTTCAATTGCTTTTTGAGAATGATTCTTACTCTGAATACCATATCTTGGTTTTTAATGAAACTTGGTTGACGGTTGACGGAACACTTCCAGGATGCTGAACTTCAAATGCTTGATTTCAATATTTACAGGTGGGACTGATCTGTCTAAACAAGCGTTTTCTCAAGAGGGGGGGGGGTACTAATAGCAGTTCGAAATAAGAGTCCTGGAAGCAGGTAGTAACATTGAACATTTGTATAGATCGATAGGAACGGTAGCGATTTCATTTTTGCAACTGCTTATTTCCCACCTCGGAGTGCCTTTGAAAACTATGCACAGTTTGCTGACAGCCTGGAAAAACTGACGGAAGCATACCCAAATAGTAAAGTTTGTGTTGGGCGATTTTAATCTTCCAAATAGGCAATGGTCAAAAGTTGATTTGGGGTTCTGCCAACAACTTCTCCAAACGAAGTTGAGTCCCTCCAAGTACTATCATTTTTATGCTCATACCATAACCTATATCAGGTAAACTCACTCAGAAACGGGAACGGATCTATCCTGGATCTGGTGTTTTTGCAGGACAAGGAAGCTACAACTCTCTATGCAGAGGAAAGTCTGTTACCTGTAGACAACCACCATCCGCCACTAATTTTTAGTGCTAAGTGTGAACATTACACCATTTTAACAATCATGGTATCACAGGTGAGGGTTTTTATAGAGGCTGCCATGCCATGGAAATTAGGAAAGTTTGTGACTTTCCCTCCTGTTTCACGTTTCAACTGGACTTTAAATGGAGTAGAAGTTATTTTCTGCATTAAGAGCTAAATGTAAAACCATTAAGAATCAGTGTTATCAATGTATATAGCCCAAAATAAATCTTCCTCGAGAGTTAATGTTAAAAACACTTTTGGAAGTTCGTTAACAGTAAAAAGAAAAATTGTGATATTCCTTCTGACATGTACTACAATAATGTCAGGTCTTCAACTAGTGGCGAAATTGTAAATTTGTTTGCTGAGTGTTTTTCGCAAATGTACTCTGATGATGATGTCTGTGATATTTCATACTAGTCCCATCTTTCAGTCATATTATACTGTCTAGTTGTAACTTTTCTATTTTTGAAATGTATGTAAAACTATCATCCTTAGATATCAGCAAGAGTCCAGGCCCAGATGGGACTCCCCCAAGTCTTCTGAAACAATGTACAGTGGGAATCATTGCAATTGGCACATACTCTTTCAACATCTCTCGTATTAAGTCATAATTCTAAGCAAGTAATTCAATGCAGCGGTGTACATAATATTTTATTATTTTTATTTAAATCCATAATACAACACTGCCCCGCAGAAGCGTAACATGTAACATACCAAATCAGCATAAGAAATCAAGAAACAAACAACACAAAATCAT